TTGTGTCTAGAGCAGGTCAGAGAATCGAAAGCAAGCTCTAATATCACTGATAAGGGGTACTTTCATATTGAGTATAAATTTACAAAGGGAAACGAGTTTGCCTAAAGAACAAATGAAAGAATTGTCGTTGAACAAAGAAAGTTTCTTGATGTTTTAGAATCCGAACTTTTATTAAAATTCCAGAAATCACTCCTTAATCAATGGGAAAGTATTCTAATATGTAAGTGACTTCAATTTGAGCTAAAAAGGAACTCACTCTAATAGGTTGAGACGTTATTTTTTGCTATCATCCTTTTCTCCATTGTTGAAGTCAATTGTATCTCTTTTCCATACTTGAATTGATATGTTTTATTTAAGTTAAAAATCTATCGAAAACAATCTTTCTAAGTAGGAATAAAGCTACATACACATCATCACCATCCTCAGACCCGACTTGTAAAATTACACTGGTATGTTGTAGTAAATTTTCTCGCACATTTGATATGTTGTGTGAAAGTGAAGCTGAAAGTCTTTGCTATATCAAATATGTAACATGATTTCAGAATTCAATCGCACGAACTGCATTGCGCAAATTATATCAAATACTCTGTCCAATCTTTCACCTTACCATCCATAACAAACTATAAAGGAAAAAAATCTAACAAAGCATCCGCATTCCGCGTCGAACAAAACAGTTGACCATGTGGCGAATGCTCTCTTAAAACTTGCTTTTTACATGATTCCTGAGGATGAACAATACAAGTATATGTAACTACAATTGTAAAGACTAAGATTGTGGAACAGTCCAATAGCTCCTTTGAGGTTTGGTTATATCACACAATGGCAAAAATCCCTCACTCCTTGCCAAAATCGGCAGTATAGTGCACACTTGATTCAAGTTTCTTTGCTTCATTCAGTTTCCTTACAGCCTGTAAATAAATATTCAAACTTTGACTCAGAATCTGCATTACCCTCCAACTAGCCAACAGCTTGTAAAAGAAGAACCAGACGTACCTTCATGAAATCCTCATGGATGACATAATCACGTTCTGCACGTACTGCTGATATACCAGCTTCAGTGCACACATTTCGAAGATCAGCCCCATTAAAACCCTGAGGAGAAACAGACTGTCAAAACTCCGCTTAGGCAACACAAGCAAACTAATTTTCATAGCATCACTAGCACACCTCGGCAAGCTTAACAACAGCTTCATAATCAATGTCACCATGTTTGGCAATTCCAGCAGCATGAATCTTGAGGATCTCAATTCTTGATAGTTCATTAGGCAAGGGTATTTCTATCTTTTTATCTAACCGACCAGGGCGAAGAAGAGCTGGGTCCAAAACATCTGGCCTGTTTGTTGCCATAATCATTTTTACCTGCAAGCAGAATAAACATTAACTACTTAGCATCGACGTATTTTTTACTTAAAAAATAAAAGCAGAATGCCAGAAGATCACAGTAGTCAAAGCTAAACTCAAGCAATCTTCTCTTTCTTTTTAGTATGTATCTATATGATAG